TCATAAGAATTCCTTATGATGTTGACTATTTTCCCATGCAGTCCATAGTGTCGAAGAAGTCTTCATAGTGTCATCCCGTTCAGCTGTCAAAAGCTTTCTCGTAGAAAATGAAGTTCATGTACAGTGGTGAATTTCATTCCATAGATTGTTTTACAGTAGTCAGTACTGTAGCGATTTGGTCAGTACATGATTGATCCTTAAAAATTGCTTTGTTATTAATACTTTAGCATCTCCCGGATCGTTGTACAGGATTGAATTGATCCTTCTCTGTCAATGTGCATTGTTATGGAATCGTAGTATGTTCTACTCGTTAAATAAGTGGTGAATATTATTGAATCAAAATTTTAACGAATAAGTTCATAATTTTCATTGATATCGTTTCTAATTGGTTCCGATCTCCATAGGATTCATTTATTTCTAAAGATCAAGAATTTCGAAACTGTCCATTAAGATTATTTACAGTGAATTAATTCTTAAGATGACTAGGTATAAAAAATTTCCTCCTCATTTCTTTAATCATGCATACAGTTAACATGAGATTATTTCGACAATAAGAGTTTATTATTATCATGATCACGTGAATTCTTATAATTAAAACTAATCAGATATACAAAATACTTTCATGGCACTGATTCGCATATACGTAATAGTAGATATTTGGAGTAGTGACATTAAAGAAGAAAAGCTTTTAAGTTCCATGAGTTGATTGTTCCACAGTTTATGGGGATTCATATCGTTCAGCTTCCGATGTAAGACGTTTCATCTTTTCTGCTTTAAAAAAACATGGTACTCGTAGATCAATGTCTAAAATAATTTAAATGGTGCATAGTTTGAATATTATTTTCAAGTAATTATAAAGTGCTCAGTATTTTTTATTTCACCATCTTCATGAATGAAGTTTTTAGTAAGCTGAACATAGTCAGCACAAAAAAAAATCAAGCGTTTACAATTTATTTATGTAATTTGTTACTTTTTTAAGAAGAATAAAAAAGTTGTCCAAACCACTATCTTCGATTATTATTCATTGTTCAAATAAATCTCATGATGAACTGCATTATCTTACTGAATTTCAAAACTATCATTCCGATTATTCTATGGAGTATTATTGATAACTTTCTTTCATACTTTTAAAGCTGGTTGGTTTTTGAACAGCAACTCATGTCCTGTATGCCCAGTGTGTCTGAGTACTATTCGAATTTTAATAGTTAGGTTGCAATATGGTCACTCGTCTCAATGATTCAGTTTGGATCGCGCCAGATCAAAATGTAAGGTGATGGTTGGAAGTTATGCATAGGGAACCACAGACATAAGTTTCGCGCAATTTTTCAGCAATCCATAATCCTCGACGGATTCAGTCTGGTGTCCTCTAGCTTCATAGTCAGAAACTTTATCACTATAATATATGACCCAAGACTGATCTCCTTTAGGGCTGACCGCGAATCCAGATAACACAGGATTAAATCCACTAGGGAATATCACTTCCTTCAAGATTATAGGAATGGTTTGTTGAAAAATTATAGGTAGCATTTCCTGTTGACTACTTCCAACCATTTTATACGCTGAATTATTCTGTCAAGCCATATTATATATTTCGTTATCTAAAGTGTAATAATATGCTTCAAAATAAACTTTCTATCAACAATCTCTATCATGCGACAATTATAATAGAAAACAATGTTAAAAAAATTATTGACATAATAATGTGAATTCTCATTAATTTTATTGACCATACAGTGAATGATGGTGACTGACGAAATCTCAGCTCGGGTACAGAAGGTTCGATTAGCTTTTGCCAAACTGCGTCACTTATGGCGTAGGCGAGATATTCGTTTGCTGACTAAAGGACGAGTGTACTGCACAGTAGTTCGCTCCGTCTTACTTTATGGCTGTGAAACATGGCCAGTGAGAGTAGAAGATATTCGTAGGTCACTGGTGTTCGATCATAAGTGTCTTCGAAGCATTGCTCGTATATCCTAGGTTGGAAGAAAGCTAGGAGCGGTCAGACCAAAACATGGCAGAAATCCATGAAGTCATTGACAAGTGGACTTAGCCATGTCGGTAATTGTCGACTACCTGGTTGGGGTCCGCGAGATGATAATAATCGATGGTTAGATACCCTGAACGACATGGCTCAAAACCGTTTGCAATGTCGCCGGTACATTTATTCTCTGTGTTCTCTCAAATCCTAATCTTCCGGATTCTTCAAAACCTCTACCTTTCTTTCTAACCTTATCTCAATGAATCATACTTCTTGAATAATATCTTCTAATCCTAACCTCTCCGATTACTTCTAATACCTTTACTTCCTCTTCTACTATTGGATTCGAATTGACAATTATATCTCTGTGCTGATGTGCTATGGCAAC